ATATATATATATATATATATATAAATAGATAAATATTTGTGTATGTAATTTTTTATTTTTATTTTTATTTTTTTAAGGAGAAGGTTGCCCCATTATAATAAGAGGCTCCACCCAAAATCTATAATCAATTGCTTGTTGTTGTTGGGTTAATTAATTAATCAACATTTCTTTTTAAGTATTTATGAGTTATTTTCTTCCAAGATTTTGTACATTATCTCCAATTTGGTTCCATCAAATGTGACATTCATGCTTATAAAGCATTTTGACTCTCCAAGATCCATGCCCTCTATATAACCAACAAAAATACACTTCACAGCTTGAGTATTAAGTTTGTCTTTATTGATAAGAACAAAAGTTAAAACACCAAAAAAATTTATATTTAAATAATGTGTTGGTTTATCACTCTACACTTCCATAAGTGTCTTGAAGTTTGAAACTGAAGATGAACATTTGTTTATCAAATACATTATAGTATTTATAGTTGAGTTAATCATCTATACACTGTCAGTGTAAAGTTTTCTTACACTCGCAACCAATTATATCTCTTAATTGTGTCATGTCACTGTAAACACATTTACTTTTAACAATGACATGACACAATTAAGAGATATAATTGGTTGTCAGTGTAAAAAAAATTTACACTAGCAGTATATAGGTGATTAACTCTTTATAGTTTCACCTCATAAAGTCTTAGGTAGCCCTGAACCTAACAACATACACCTCACATGTTTCAAAATGGTTTTGTTCATCCTCTCAACTAGGCAATTTTGTTGTGGATTTTGAGCTATAAACTTATGCTTTTTAAGTCCCTATTCTCTCTGCAAAACCCATTAAACTTCTATGAAATAAACTTCAGGTTATTGACAATCCTTAAAACCTTCAGTTTAGTTCCTATTTGATTTTCTACAAGAACGTGTCAGTCATTCTTTAGATTTTTTGAATGTTTCAAACTTATTTTTAAAATATATATAAATTCTCACTATCCTTGAAAAAAAACATCAATTATGGTAAGAAAAAACTCCAAAGATTTGAGTGCACATATATACTCAAAGGGTTTATTAGAAACATGCATATTAGTCTCAAACTTAACCTTATGAGATTTTCCTAATATGCAACGATCACAAAAGTCTTGTTTATCTAATTTATCACCATTTAACGAAATTATTTTCCTAGCTCCACTAAACCTTTTTCACTATCATGTCCAAGCCTTAAATGTTATAATTTTGTTTTATCATGCAAAGTTTGACTTGTTACAAATGGATGTGCAATAATAGTATAACCATTAAGAATGTACAAATTGTTTCTTTTATTAAGACCATCAGAGATCTTCATCACATTATGTTCAATTTTAACAGAATAACTCAAACCATCAAACGTGCTTATGGACAAAAAATTCTTCTTAAGCTTAGGGACATATCTCACATCTTGCAATAAAATCTCACCGTTATCAAACATTCTCAAAAGGACAATACACATATCTTGCACCTTGCAAGCTTTGATGTTGCCAAGAAATACCACTTGACTTTCTTTGAGTTTCAAAGTCTCAAAGAAATCCTTTACATGTGACATGTAGTAAGTACATCTAAAATTCATAACCCAATTATTTTGCATTTATAATGTTGATGTCACCAGCACCCTTGCACTCTCATAACCATCTTCAATTAGTCAATGTATGATTAACAAAATGCTATAAAAAGAAACTATATTGGTTAAAATCTATAAGAAAACAAAAAGCTACAAAATTAATTTCAAAAAACAGTCGAACACTTTTCAAGATAAGGAGGAAAAAATGTAGCAATACATATATATTGTTTCAAAAACTTGCAATTCCTTAAATCAATTATAAAAAAAAATAATAACATTTGTCAGTAATATCTCTATGGCTCTCATACCAATTGATAAAATTTATTAACCTAGATACAAATCACAACATATTGTCAATGAGTATAAAAAGAAGAAATAAAGAATTATGCACCTAATATAAGTTCTTCATAAATTACAAGGAAAACTAGAATAAAAGAAGACTTCACCCAATCATGATTAGTTCATGAATTCATATTAATTGTCTAATAAAACAACAATAAAAAACTTATTGTGTGAGAGTAGGGACCTCTCATTATATAAAAATTGAATAGTTCAACTCATCACAAGTCATTCATAATACAAGTCTAATAATATTTATTCATTAATTAAATATTAAAATAATTATTAATTATAACTAATATATTAATAAATCAAAGAATAATTCTAAATAATTAATCCATAAAATAAATTAATTCAACAAAACCATCTCAATCGCTAACCACACACAACAGACTGTTGGCTTAGGGACTCCGCATGCTTTCCTGTTTCAATATCTCTGTGCCCATGATCTTTTGGGAATTCAGGAAGAACCATTGTACTGTACCATCAGTTAAAATAATGAGGGGTAGAATGTGAACAATAGGAAATGATGGTTCTTTGGAAATTTTAATAAAACTTAAATATTATAAGGTATATTTAGAGAGAGAAACATATTTTAATAACTTATAATTTTATAAAATATCTTTTATAATATGTCAATATTATATATATACATCATGATTTTAAAGAAAAATAAATTTACAAATAAGTATGATTAAGTTTGATTTCACATTTTAATCAATAAATCAAATCAAACAGTGTAATTTTGAAAATTTAAAAATTTAACTGAACCGCTA